ACGCCACTCCTAGAAATGCTTGACATTGAATTGGCTATTGAAATGGTATCAGTAAAGTATTTATATATTCCATATTTTGTTCCATACATCAGCTTTCCTTGATGCGTTAGACTTGGAAGTGTGCCATGTGAGCTGAAATGTCGCCATTTATGAAAGACCGCCTTGTTTTAAAAATGGACTAAATCTTGTAGGGTACAGGAAGTAAAGTAAGTCAGTTTGAATGCAGGCACATCTCTCTCTGCCCCGGCTCCTGCATGCTTTGTCTCTTCCTTGTTTGATTCAGAAGCTGACTGTGCTTACAGTAAATACCAGTATTCACCTAACAGCTAAATATAGTGATAAAAATAACCTCTACCATAAAAACTGAATGAACGACAAGAACACTGTAGTTCCATGAACCAAGAAATCCACAGAAGAAATATCGTAATTTAAAGTCGGTTTTACAACATTCTTTAATTTTAAATGAAGCAAAATACTTCTGTGGTTAAATCACAGTTCTTCAGTCTATGCTGTAAAGGAGATTCAAGAATGTGTATTTCAAAATGTTTTGCTTGGTTTTGTTTTTAAATAAAAAATATAATCCAAAGCAAATGCAATAGATCTCTGCATACTTGAAACATGTTTTCTGAATTTATCTTAAGTCTCTCACTGCTCCAGAGGGTTGTGTGTATGGATTAGGACTAGACCATTATTTCACCATCTTTCTCCATCCTGAACTGATTGCAGTGAACACTACAGAATTAGTTGCAGATGTCTCCTTTTCCTTCCAGTTTGGAGGACCTCTGGTTTCAGTCCCATTTGATCTGAACTGGGCTAAGGAGCATAGGTCTGTCATTGTTTTAAGGGATTCAGTGGAAGAAATCGTTGCACCTGAAAAAAGTTACTTCCTCTGTATACACAGTCTGTACTTTGAAATGTGGGATGCTGCGGGATGATGCCTATATGAAACTTTCTGGTGTGTCCCTCCTAATTCAGGATTATTCTTTGAAATGTCAGGGTACATCTGAAGAAAAAGATAGCCGGAGCTAGCTTTGCAAGGGGGGAGTTTGGTTTGACTCAAGAGCATAAAAATGTTTTTGAATTCAAGAAATTGAGCAATTTTAAGAAATGGTGAAAGTTCTTCCAAATTTCAGGGAAAATTGATGTTAAAATTAGGGTTTTTCCTCTTGAGGGATTCTTTCTTTCCCTACCAAACTCTCATTACCTCCTAATGTACAAATAGCAGAATATCCACTGAGAGTTTGTATGAAGAATGTCCATATATTAAAAGTGTCATGACATATGTCTTGAAGGAAATTAGCTTGTGAATATGATTCAAATGCCATTTTGTCTTTAGCTTTCGTATCATCAGGCTATTTTTCAACCATTACAGTAAAAAGTGTTGGTTGTAAGGTTTATTGTTTTTATTAATTAAAAAGTAAATAATGATTTATAGAAGCTGGACTTGTAGGCTAAGTGTCAGACACCAAAAGCTTTAGGAGTTCAGATCACAAGAGCTGTTAACTATTTTATCAGTGCTGGCTCTGGTTTGTGGCTCTCCATCACCACTTCATCCCCTGAGTGATCTGTCTTAGAGCTGCTTACATTCTCTGGGGCTGTGGGTAGTGGGACAGTGGTGGGTGCTGTAGACAGGTCTCATCACTCCCTTAGAGTTCAGGGAGCTGTATGAAAAGGTAAGGAACAGGTAAACAGTAGCAGTAAGAACAGAATGGCTCCCACAGGGGTTTTGTTGTTAAAGAAGATGGAATAGAGAGTTGTAAAAGCTGTTCTCCTGGGTGGTGTGATGGTGTCTTGCAAGCATGTGGAAGAGCTTTGCATTTTGCATTGTACTTCTTCAAAAGCCTTTTTTCCCTGCCCCCACAGATAATCTCTGTTCTGACAAAATAATCTTCTACTCTGGTAAGAAATGTTTTGGGGTATGCTTGAAAGGATCCTTAATATCTCCTTAAAGAAGGCAGGACTAGGGAACTTGGAAAGAAATCTGCCTGCCTGTGATCATACAGTAGGAGAGTAGGGTTTAGGGTTTTGCAAGGGAGAGAGAGAGGTACCAAAAAGGAAAGTTGTATGTAAAGCCCTAAGAGGTCCAAAGAAAGGTAATTGGGAAAATCAAACCTAATGTTACTAGATTTAGATGAGAAGTACAGGGGTCCGTGGATAAACTCAGCAATCTGCAGACTGGGTGGCAAACTGTTGGAGGTAGTAAAAATCATTTGGATTATGATAGAGTAGCAACCTGAAATTCGAGGGCAAAACCAACACACTATTTCCCACTACCGTGTTCAATTTAAATAGCAAAACATTGCCAGCTTTTTGGGAAAGTCTCCCCGCTCTGATCTGAGCGCGTTCCTGATCAAACCTGAACTTTGAAATGCAGGGAAGGGAGGGAGCAGGAGCAGGAGCCGTGCAGTTGGTTAGGGCTCAGTATCACTTTTAGTTATCACCAGCTGAATTGGAGGATACAGGCTGTGCCTGCTTGCAGCGAGCAGCAGTCTGTTAGAGGAGCTCGATTTCTCTCACTCCTTCTTCCACCCACCTCCATCTCCTCTGTGCCTGTGTCTGCGCTCCCACATGCTTCAAATCTGTGTACCTGGACTGCCTTCCTTAACAGTTCAATGTGAGTGTTAGCAGAATGAAAACCAGATGGACCAGCAGTTCCCACTGTTATCTCCCCACCAGCTCTGGCAAGCCTCCCTTTCTCTCTCCTTTCTTGGCATGGGAGAAATATTTGCCTTTATTTAGGAGGGCTTGGGCTCACTGCTGTGCCTCTTTCCCTCTGTTGCAACATGAGCTGAAAGCTATTTATTCCCTTGTTGCTGAGGTTGGTTGAGGTGAGTGCAAGATGAATTTGGCTATTAAGGAAGCAATTAACATTTCAAGACGAGTTTTCATAGTTCTTTATATTAAATTAATGGCTTATTGAAGATAGAGATTTAACTGTTTTAGTATAGTGATACAGAAAGGAAATATGTATAGAATTTGTTTAGAAACCTGATTTTGTTTTCCAGCATGTAATAATTTACTGTTGCTTGATTTGCAAATCATAACTCACCTGTGCAACAACCTTAATATTTAAGGTAATCATTGTGGATTACTCTAAGGTTATCTCTGTGGATACCACAGCTGAGGTTTACTAACCTTAGATCAACACTACAGATCCTATAAAATTGTATCTGTGTTACCCTCATCCTATTCTGAGCGTGTTTCACTGCTCATCTTCCCCAAACTTGTCTCTAAATTCTATATGAAATTACTCCCTTTCCCTGAGAGCTGAAACATTGCCTGTAGGCATTTCAACAAAGGTTGAAAATGGCTTCTCTAACTGCAGTACCTGACACACTGCACCTCTGGGACTTACTACTTGCTTCCTCAGTTTCTTTAGTTTCAGACAGATATAGATTGGTATCTGTTGTTAATTTTTTTTTGGGGGGGGGAGTGGGGGCTCTTTTTTTTTCCCCTTCCCCCATTCTTTTTTTTTTTTTAAATAACTTTCTCGTATTTAAGTTTTCTGATAATTGTTTTGAGGCTCCTTAAAACATATCCGTTCTTTGTTAAATGTGTGTATTGCATTAAATTTCTGTTATTGTCTCTCAGAGAAAATTTCAGATGCGATTATTTCATTGAAGTTTGTATGTTGTTAGTAAGAACAAGGTATTGTGTCACAAAATGAAGTGACAGAATTTACAGAATGTGACATGTCTTGAATTAAAACCATGGACGTACGTGCTTGCCCATTAGCAGCGACACTTCCTTGCTTTACTTGTGGAGCTCAGGAAGGCTTCTGTTGGGCTGTGTATAAATAAATAACCCCGACTCCCCAAAGAGAGAATTGGAGAATTTGACTTGTTCCCATTAAAAGCTAAACATCATTGTACTCATTTCTCAAGATGGCTTGCTAAACTCCTGGTATGAATGAGAAAGCCTTAATTTTGCCTTCAGCTGATAAATTTTGCTTTGTTTTGCCCGTTCTTAACAAATGAAACATATGGGCTTGGATGGCTTAAAAAAACCGACAAACTTAAGGTAGTATCATTCAAAAAGATGTTGGGAAAAAGAGTGCACTTTTGTAGCTTATCATGTGTGTTGTATATTTAGATCTTCAGCTGCGAGAGAAGTGTTATGTTTTCTTCCTGGTTTTGCCTTATGTTTGTTTTGTTTTCTTGGGGAGGTATATTCCTGCTTATCATGCAGGTTTTGAACATTAAAAGTTATTCTTAATATGTGAAGGTGCAAACTTACATGCTTATTTGAAAATAATTGTATGTATGTGAGATGATTGACATAAAATTTTGGCATGTTGTATTTATTTTTCTGGTGAATATGAGAATAACCAGGGACATTGTGGTAAAGTGATCCAGGGGGTGTGTGTATTTAGCATAGGTTTAGCATAAGATTACAAAGAGAAGCAGTGGAGAGGGCAGCAGGTGATAGAAAGAGGAGATATGAAGAGAGCTGACTTCAACCAATATCCCACCCAATACCTCACCTGTACTAAAGAGCTTCAGGTTTTAATTCTGGAAGAGATTTCGTAATGGGATTTATTATCTTCCTGTCCCTTCATCTATTTTTCCTCCTGGCTAACATGAGGGCCTTGAAGGGAGGTGGCATTATTGCAGCTTCAGGAGTGCTTGGGAGGTAGCATCTGCACATGCTAGAAATAAAAACAAAGGATAACGCAGCACTGCTACAAATGAGGTCTTACCATCTGTGTTGCACTTTCTTAAGTAAGGTTTAGATGATGCAATTTGGGAAGAGCACACTGGAGTAGATAATCAGGTGTAATCTTTCACAGCAGATGCTGAAATGGCTCACTTCTTGCATTAGCTTTTAAGATTTTGTCAGAGGGGGTGTGCTTGGGGAAATAAACCGGTGTGTTCCTGTGGTGTGTGTTGCAGATCGCACTGAGAAGCATTCCACAATGCCAGACTCACCTGTGGATGTGAAGACACAATCCAGGCTGACGCCTCCAACCATGCCACCTCCTCCCACTACCCAAGGAGCTCCAAGAACCAGTTCATTTACGCCCACAACGTGTAATTAGTCTTATTTTCTTCCTTTTCTTCCATCTTCTTTCTATTCTGTATGTCAGAAACTAAAATAGGTGAAGGGAAATGTGCATGAAGTGGCAGGAGCAACATTTGATTATATTGGGATAAAGTAATTAAGCAAAACGAAGTTCACAACAGATTAACGCATCTTTAACTTATTAAGACATTCAGCTCAGAGTTGTGTTGTTATTTCGTTGATCACTTGGTCACAGTGTCAAAGAACAATGAGTACTGGCTTTCCATGTACTTAATGCTCAGGTTAGCCCTCTTGTGAGAAGGACAGAAAACCTTCTTCTCTTACGTGCCATTATGTTGTTTAAACAATCCCATTCCCTTTTGTATAGAAACTTCAGGGAGTTTGTTTGTTTTTTGTTTTTAAAGTGGAGATAATTCATAATGAAAAAATTACTAATCTTCCTCTTGCTTATGTTTCAGTGAAGAATTCTGATTTCAGTGCTATATAATGTCTAGTTAATATTGATATATAACCAACACTTAAGTCCTTTCATGATTTTTATCTAGAGGCTTCTAGTCTGTTACCACTTCTCTAAATCACTTAGGGCTGCATCTCTGTCTCAGCTTATTGATGTAAACATATAACTCTACTAGTCTTGGTATATGCTGCATTCATGACAGCATAACTGATATTTGAATCTGGCACGTTGTCTGGACTATTCTTTTCACAGCCATGAAATGATACACATTTCTCATACTAAGATTTAGCTGCAAATTTTTTGGTCTCTTTTATACTGCCTTGTAATAGTATAAACATGAGAATGTGTTTACATTTCACGTTTTAAATAAAACATTTTTAGAACAGTAGAATACATATGCCTAAACAGAATGAAAGCTGCATCTTCTATTTGTCTTGCCTATGTCTGTTTTAGTCCCTTTCTCTCTGTTAAATGCCTTATTTAAAATTCACCTCTATGCTGAAGGCCAGCTGAAGGCCTTTGTACTACTTATCCCAGGGAGCCCTGTCCTGACAATTTATGTTGAACTTAAACAGTGAGGAGGGTTTGTGCCAGCTATTCACATAAACTCACATTAAACCCAGTCACCCTGATCCTGCAAAGATTTGTCTGTTTTGCTTAACTCCAGCACCTGAATCATCCTGGATGGGGCTTCACATTGGAGCTGCTTCAGTCTGAAGTTAAATTGTTTCTGGGTTTTTGCAGGATTAGGCTCTTGCAGATTAAGCTCTCCAGTGTGATGCCCTGCCAACAGTGCAGGATGATCTTTGGCAATCATAAAAGGAATATGACAATGTTCTTTAGTCACACTCGCAGTCCTCACAAGGCCTCTGGGTATTGGTTTATTTGATAGAGTTCAGTACTTTGGAAGGTGTGTGAACCACAGCTTGATTTTTGGGGCTCCTTATTTGAAGACTAAAAGTCTGAAAATCTTTTATTTATAATATTTTAATTGCTTTTTACCCTGTCAGATTTTGGAGTTTGGCTTTAGGTGTTCCAGCTTGTACAATAAACAGTCACTTTTGTCAGAGTGTCTGTTACATTTATTATTACTACAGCAGGAATGCCTGCAGGGCAGAGAGATCTGAGTTGTTTTCTGGTCTAGAATATCTTTGTTTTCTTTGGTTTAGATGATTAAAAATTCTTGATGCGTTGTAGTTTGAAATTTTAAATGCTAAATTCTTTTGGATTAGCTACGTGGGTTCGTTTTAGAAATTATGCACAGCTTTGCCAATTGGTAAATTCAAATATTATAAGGAAACCACTGAAATAACGGGACTATTTCTATATTTCTTTTGTTGTGGGAGAAACCTTTATCAGCCTGTCTTCTCCCTGTATCTATCCTAGGTAATGAACTCCACTCTTCTCTGCTTTCTTGATCATAGCCCCAGCACCCTCTGTCTAGACCAGTCCCTTATGGATGACAGAGTTGTTGTGTGGTGTCAGGGTAGATCAGCAGGACATGTCACTATTCTCCCCAGTCCTCATTTTTTTAAAGTTCCTTGTAGGATGACTTTTGGCTATGTGAGTTCCTTGCAATCACAACATATTTGTTTACTCAGATACCTCACCCCACTGCAGCACTCAGAGCGTGGCCTGCAGCCGTACAGGGAGCTGAACTTGCTGAGGGCAGCTTCTTTCTATTTCTGTTTTTTCCAATCCTTGTTCTCACTAGCCCACGCAGCCAGAATAGGCAGTCAAAAACTAGGATAAAACACAAGCAGAGGCTAGATAACAATTCACATAGCTTTTTCCGTAGTGCCTCTGGAAGGCAGTGACTGGGGCAACAAAAACTCCTTTGAAGGTTTGTGGCAGTGATTTAAATATGGTAATAGGGTAGTGATTTATATTTAGTAGTGGGTGTCCACCCTGAAGAAGGACTTCCTGATTAAAGCTAAGGATAATCGATGAAGGAAATGAGATGAGAATGGGATGTTTGGCTTCAGAGAGGCTGGTCATTGAGAGACATGAAAGTATTTAAAGTTGCTAGCTTGTCCTGGTTATGCTTTTAAATAGGAAACAAGCTAAACTAATACTCCTATGCATTTTTGTTTGTAGACAAGTTCCTGATATTTGATGTTTTTTGGGATGAGTTCTGAGTGACTCCCTCAAAAAAAGTTAGACAATTTCTCCAGGACAGTGGCCCACTGAGTGCAGCTGCTGCTGGGTACAGTCACATGCTGCATGCTCACACCTGCCAGTGCAGTGGTACACTTGTAGTTCTAGGGAGCCATTCTTTTCTTGCTGTTTGCTGTCATTTTAGCAAGTCAGACTCAACCTCAATGGCATGTATTTTGAGTGTTGCTGTTCCAACTAACCTGAGCGGAAGAGGATGTCCGCAGTTTTGATTCTCTGCCCTCTTCTAAAATGTGTATATGACTCAAACTGAAATGGCAGCCAAAAGCTCTCTGTTGTCTTCAGTATGTCTGCATGCACCTCATTGCCATAAATTTTGAATGCTTAGTACTTCAGATAGTTATTCTCACAGCAACCTTGCAACAGAAGGGAAATGCTTTCTTATCCTTTTTAGAGATAAGGTGCTGGCACGTGAAAGCAGAGAGATTTGCTCATGGTCTTTGAGAAATCTTCTGAAGTCTAGCTTCATGCCCTTTTTGCAAGGCATCAGGGCACAGGGAGCATTGGCAGCACTTGTACCTGCACAGACAACTTTGTGTGTTCCATATGTTAGTAGCTAGGAAATCTGTATTGGAAAAAATAACCTTCTCATTGGGTGGTGTAAGGTTAAAACGTGAAAGTCCTGTTTTATAAACACAGCTGTCAGTTGTGTGTACAAAACACAAGTAAAAATATTCAGAGATAAACTGAGGCTTCATGAAATATGTCTGCACGTTTTTTTCTACCCCAAAGAGCAATTTTTTTTTGGTCTTCAGTCATAAATGCACTCATGCTTTTTCTCTCCATTTCCCTCTCTTTTTAAAATCCTCTGACAAAAGGCTGGTATTCAAATGATGCTTTTCAGGTCCAGGAGCATTTTGAAGGGGCTGTGTGAGAGACAGCTGCTGTTATTTCCAGTCCTTAAAATGTTCAGCACCAGCTATTGGGAAATAGATATAAACTGCAGACTGTCGCTCTGTCTAAAGGCTAATTATCTTTGATTGTGCAACTTAATTAATTCTGAGGTCAAGTGCAGAAAACATAAGCTGATGGATTTTCTCCTCTGTCTCCTTTTTCTCTCTCTCTTTCCCCCAACCCCAATCTTTATTTTATCCTCTGTCTCTCTTTCTTTCAGTAACCAATGGCACTAGCCATTCACCAACAGCGTTAAATGGAGCTCCATCTCCTCCTAATGGCTTTAGCAATGGGCCATCCTCTTCCTCTTCCTCTTCTCTGGCTAACCAGCAGTTACCGCCAGCTTGTGGAGCTAGGCAGCTCAGCAAACTGAAGAGATTTCTTACAACCTTACAGCAGTTTGGCAATGACATTTCACCAGAGATTGGGGAGAGAGTGCGTACCCTTGTGCTAGGACTTGTGGTAAGCAAGTATTTATTCTGTTCTTTTTCCTCTTCCTTGCTTGATGTGTTTATTTTATAAATGAGTGGGCCACATGCACTGCACTCGTAGTTTAGGGATACCAAGCATGCAAGAATGAAACTCCAGCTCTTGCTGACAGAGCTAACATGAGTAGCCTGACTAGATTCCCACAAGTGGCAGCTATTCCCTGCTAGGTATAGCCTTGACTATTTTTGCCAGTGAATTGTTAAGGTGTAATGGTGTGAGAGGGTTTTCATTCTATAATGACAGTACCCCTAATGTAGGCATACCTTGAATCCTGTAATGTAGTAAAATATGGTTTGACTTGCCTAGTTTAGTTGGATGAGGAAAGGAGAGAGCCCTGAATATATAGTGCCAATGGTTAAAAGGGTGAGCTGAGTATGTTTGGACTGCAGTTATGCAGTGCAAAACTCTTTCTCAGTGTCATTGAACCAAACAATTATGAACCCAATGAAGCACTGCTGCTACTTAGGTTGCTTTATTGGTAAGGTTATCTCTATGTGATGGTATGACTTAATGAAAATTTCAGCTCTTTCTTACTTACATGTCAACTTGGGCTGCCCTTTTACATGCAAAAAGTGAAATCTGGCCCAGGATTCATTTTACTCCCAATAAAGTCCTCTCCCTGCCAGACATTGTTGTCTCCCATGTATTTCCTTCAGCAATAATTGGATGTACTGGGGAAGATGCTATTGTGGTGCTCTAATTTACATCTGTTCTGAGCAGCTGCAATTACCATTGATTTCATTTGGAGCAGAGGCTGACAGCACTGTTTAGCACTAAGGCTGAGCGTTGACGTCACAGTCTTTGCTTGTATCTTCACAAACCCCTACCTGACACCAGTGAATACTCCTTCACCTGGGTCTATAGCAAAGGGAAGTTTAATGCAGGCAGTATAACATTAGTATGTTACTCTCCGTTGTTTCTGTGTTCAAAATAAGTGTTTAATGCGGTTTTGTTTGTCACATG